GTGCCAGATTATATGGTACTCTGGTTAGACCCTATGTCAAATCATAACAAGGAAATGTTGACAATATATTTGATCATCACCAGTTTATAGTCCCGGCAGACTACAGGTATTGGTAGCACCTCTATACCCCGGGATTGCAATACATCAAGATGGAGTTTTTCATCAAGCAAACAAGGCCCGGTGGGTCCAAAGCAGTCAATACATTATCTGTTTAGTTTTCTTTTTAACCGTTTACTCTATAGATTACTAGAGGGCAGAAAAGTGTCGACAGTTTCCACTCTCGCTTATAAAAGAGAGACACTAAAGGGACGACTGTCTTCACTCTCGTTAGTGAACGGCGTTTACAAATAATAAATTCGTAATTACCAGGTGGTTGAATAGCGTGTCATTTGCGGATGCATTGACTCTTTGTCGAACTGCTGGACATTTAACGACGGAGGTTAGTGTCTATTTTTATAAGGTCGTGTTGTGTTTGTGTAAATATTAAACATTAAATAACCGATTAATGTTTGTGTCCTGGTACAACGATTGCTCCAAGATGATGATGATTGATCTAAGTTGACCAAATGTCAAAAGTAAAAATTTAATGCCCATGAAATTTACTATAATAATGTTTAAAAATGTCCCTACTATTGAGATAAAATCGGGCCTAAAGAGCATTTTTAGTTAATTTGTAATGCATGCTCCGTACCCCATAATCTTCATCAACTTTGCATCTTTGAGTGATCTTGTTATTGAAATCACAGCGATATCCATTAACCAAAGATGTAAACATGTGCAGATATAACTTTCATTTACTCTATGTATACAAATTTTGTATTTAAAAAGCCACTCACTCACTCAGTCACTTGTATGCGTACGAATAATTTGTATAAATTAATTGAAACACCTTTTAAATTATTTTTATTGTCACGTAATAATTCATTTATCCATACAGGTAACTATTTATAATTGCTATTGATACACTATTGGTATTTGTGTGTGACTTTTCGTTGTTGTTGCTGATTTGTTTGATTTTTTTTTTTGTTGTTTATTATTTGTTTGTTTAATTCGTTGTGTTAATGTGATTGAAAAGAAGAAGAAATACCTAAATTGACAATACAGTTTATTAACCCATTACTTTTGTTATGCGATGCGATATTGTTTTGTATGTTTTTTTTTTTTATAAAGCACGAGTGTGGCGTTTTGTGGGTTAGTGAACTGAAAGGAAACTGCCCTTCAAATAGCCCAAATCTAGCGCAACATTGAATTCATTCATGAGTGAGTGCATATACTAAAGATGGAGAGGGAATGTTGCTGCCAGACTAACATTAACATGTTTAAGTATTTGTTGTTTAAGTTTAGCTAAAACATTTTAAAAACTCCAATTTTTGAAATTGTTTTCAATTGTAAGCCTATTGTTTATAAACATAGTTTTTTTATTCCTGTATAATGTTTAATAATTTATATTATATGTATACTTACCTTGTGTGTTTTTTTTAATTATAATTTTATAATAAAAATATTTTTTCTTAATTAAACAAAGTATAAATATTGTAAAAATGTTCGTGTGTTTAAAATATCTGGATGTTTTTTTTTCTCGTTCTATTTATTTACGTTTAATGACGTTAAACATTTATCTCTGGTATTTTTTTTGTTAATATTTGGTCTACTATTTATTTAAGACTACATACATACAAACATACATATATTTATTTAGACTTCTTAAAAAGTACGCAAATCTTTACTGATAATTTTTCCTTAAACTTGGCGGTAGTTGCTTTGATATTGTTATTTGTATTTATTTAATCTGGATCCGAATAATAGCGGTGTTATTTGTATAGCTCAGTTATTGTTGCATATAATTTGTCTATATTTAGCTATTGTAACACATTCCTTCTTTTTGTTAATTTTTAGCGTATAGTCAACATAATTATATAAATTAGACTACTACCGGTTTATGGTGGTAGTCTAAAAATAGCTAAAGTTATTTAATTAAAGTTGCTTTATCTTTGATTAATAAAAATGTAGAGTTAAAATAAGAATATTATGATATTCATTAAATTGTCAAGAGTTAGGATCTTGTGATTTTTCATCATAAAGATCCTCTTTTAAAGCAAAAGTGGGAGGGATTGCTGGAAATTGCAACGTCATACAAACCATATAAGCAATGAACCTTCTTTAACAGATAACGAAGTGAAAAGGATCAAACCGAAATACAGAGATAGCTATAGGAAGTTTAGCATTAACAGAAGAATATCTTCATTACTTAAGCTACCTTCTGTTTGTTTTAACTTTAAGTTGCCCCCTTAACAGTATGATACCAGTAAGGAGGGATTATTTGGCCTCGAAATATTCATAACGCCATCACCAATTACGGCTTTCGCCTACAATAGCCTCGTCCAAGAACTGCCAATCCGACCTATACCTACGTATAGGAAGCTGGAACTTCCGAACTCCGCTCCTGAGTTTATTGGTCTCCACCAAAATCTTAAATGAATTTTGTTTGGTACTCCACCATGTATCAAAGAAAATTTTAGGTTATCAAATAAAATGCATGTCCACCGAAGAACCTTAACACGGTACAGTTATGCGACGCCACGGACGAAACCAATGTGAGAGTGAAACACAAAACTCTCAAAGGCAGCGATAGAAGGACGACCTGATTACCCTTAAACGATAATGGTAATGACGCGCGAAGGTCTTTATCCACCCAGAGCTTAATTACGAATGTAAGCTACCTTTGATCTGCTGGTCTAAGATATAAGAATGCAAAAGAAGGCGTTGATATTGAAAAAATATAAAACCTCTATTAAAATAATAACAAATTCTTTGGAAGTTTTTCTTTTGCGGGCTACAAATGTATATTGACAACACTGTTGTCAGCCTCACCCATATATGTATGTGCAGATTGGTTTTCCATTTCATCAAGAATTCATGATAAACTTTCTTTGTTGGACCTCTGTTGTTGCCTATTTCATCAACCGATATTTATGATTTATTTTCTTAAAAAGTAACAAATGAAAATGATCCAAGTCATCAAAGTGAGACTAGTCTGTAGAATATACTATGGATTATTCCATTTATCATTCTATAGACTAGTCCATTGAGTATTCTATGGACTGGTCTATTGACTATTCTATAGACTAGTCCATTGACTATTCTACAGACTAGTCCATTGACTATTCTATAAACTAGTCCATTGACTATTCTATAGACTAGTCCATTGACTATTCTATAGACTAGTCCATTGACTATTCTATAGACTACTCCATTGACTAGTCCATAGACTAGTCTATAGACTATTCTATAGACTAGTCCATTGACTATTCTATAGACTAGTCCATTGAGTATTCTATGGACTGGTTTATTGACTATTCTATGGACTAATCCATTGACTATTCTATGGACTGGTTCATTGACTATTCTAGGGACTGGTCCATTGACTATTCTATCGACTAGTCCATTGACTATTCTATGGACTAGTCCATTGACTACTCTTTGGACTAGTCCATTGTCTATTCTATGGACTAGTCCATTGGCTATTTTATGGACTAGTCCATTCTATAGACTAGTCCATTGACTACTCTATGGCCTAGTCCATTCCATAGACTAGTCCATTGGCTATTCTATAGACTAGTTCACTGACTATTCTATAGAATAGACTATGGACTAGTTTATAGACTATTCTATGGACTGGTCTAAGTATAGACTATTCTTTGGTCTAGTCTATTCTATGGTCTAGTCCATTGACTATTTTATGAACTAGTCCATTCTATAGACTAGTCCATTGTCCATTCTACAGACTAGTCCATTGACCACTCTATGGAATAGTCCATTGACTATTCTATAGTCTAGTCTATGGACCACTCAATGATCTAGACTATTCTATGGGCTAGTCCATTGACTATTCTATAGACTAGTCCATTGACCACTCTATGGACTAAACCATTGACTATTCTATAGACTAATTTATAGACTATTCTATGGACTAGTCTATGTATTGACTATTCTTTGTTCTAGTCTATTAATAATGCCAAAAATATTCTATTGACTAGTCGATGATATAGTTTATGGTCAAGTGTATTATCTAGCCTACACTCTAAATAATGATTAGCCTATTGACTGGTTTATATACAATTGAAATCGGTTTGCTATGGATTCGTTTCATATTGCTATCAATTTGGAAAAAAAATATGATTTGGTTACAGCAGAATTGTACAATTTCAAATCGAATTGCCATCCCTGACACATGATAACCGTTTTCTCTTCAACTTTTTAGCTCACACTATCTTGTCTATTAGTAAAGAGACATAAACTTTTTTTAGTTCAAACATGGAACTAAGTGATTGAAAAGCTATAAACAAGATCGTTATGTGTGAATCATTCAATTAAACTAGTTCGTTTAGGAAATACCCAAGTCTAATATATAGACATTTTGCATTATGTATATATAAAATCCTTTATTATTTGAGATGATTTAATCAACTTTATTAAATATTTAACTAAAAATGACTACTACTACAGCATTTTATTTTTATTTTTAATATTCTTTATCTACTCTACTGTCTACCGTTGACATGAATTAGTCATTAAGGCTTTATTAACAAAAAATATACTATTATAACCCAGTAAGAGAGACAGAGATTACGCTCTTTGGTTGGTATTGTTGTTATTTATTTCATTTATCATTTATTACTTTAGATAATATTTACTTCCGATTCTTAAGAATTGTTAAAATAAAAAACTTAGTGGGAAAAAAATAAGTGTTCACATCAGCCGACCGATAATAATTAGTATTATTTTGATTGGACACTTTATCTGAACATTAAATGCGACTCACAGCTACTACAAATAATAAAAAAAAAGTGGATCACAGCAAAAATAATAAATATATTTAATGATTTAACGTAAATTTCCGTTTAAAAGGGGTTGAGTTGGAGTGAAAGTGTTGAATGATTTAATTAAACCAAATTTGCTTTGAAATATTGTAAATCATAACGAGTACATAATGCTCAAAAGATTGTCATAATGAATCTTTATTATCTTTTCTTTTTTTAGTTTCGTTCTTTTTTCTTTTAAATTAATTCAAAATTAATACGAACAATATTTGGATACATTTTCTTAATTGTTGTTATTGTAGTTTGTTGCTATTGTAGTGTATTGTAGTTCAACTAATTGCAAAGTTTTTTAAATTATTTCTGTTTTTGATTTTATGTCACTCGATAATTTGCATTTTTTTCGAAACTGTAAAGAAATTCGCTTATTTTCTTTTGTTTTGTTGTTTTCTTTTAAGATTAAATATGTATGTGTGTATTTTAAGTTAAACTAATAAATAATACTTTAAGACTTTATTTGTTTGTAGTTTATTTGAATAAAAGTTATTAAGTATAGTCGAATGGTTGTTAAGGATATGGAAATCCTTTCTGCCATTTATTTAACTTGTATTTCAAATTTATTCATTTCGACTGTGTATTTTATTTAGAGGCGAAGACAACATTTTTCTTTTTTTTCTTTAAGATTTGAAAGTATTTTTGTTTTTTTTTTGTTTTTGTTCGTACCTATATATTTATTATATACACATATATATGTAGCTATTTATATATATATTCTTATTAGAGACCCTCGATATGGGTTATATGTAAATTTATTCAATATAGATGTCTTCAATGGGATAAGCCGTCTCAATGAATTTTTGATAGAAACGTTGGAATGCACGTCTGTAAGTAATTATTAAATAGAAAATTAAATATTTGTAGTTTAGAGGTTTTTTATAGAGTGAGAAATTTTACCCCACAGCCTCTGCCACAGGTCTAGTTGATTCAGAACCTTTAAAAACATGACATGCAAAACGTTGTACCGTTGGATGTTTGGTTATGAATCCAATGAAACGATGATCCCTTGGATGAAACGCACAAAAAGATACGTTCTTGAGCGAGTAAAAATAATCAATACAAGGTTTCTTATCCTTTTTATTCTGCTAAAAAGAAACGAGTTTTTAAAACTTATTTTATTAAGGAAATTTTCATTTAAACTTACATTCGGTCCGGAACGATCTACCATGCGTAAACCTTGATCAGATATTTCCAAAATGCATACTTGACCTGTGGGCGAATTACCATATTCACCCACAATTTTACGCACCGCTTGACAAACCACCCCAGTGCCTTTATGAGCTAATGTCTCCACCGAACCAAGATAACCCAAGAGATAACGTTCTTTCTTAACCTGCTGCACGGTTGGATCAAACTCATTATAGTCCAAGTCAACGGCATATGCTGATGGAAAAATGCCCTGACGGCCAGTTCTTAAATTAACTCCCTCACACCATAAATCATCGGCCTCCTTTTGTACATACACTGGATCACCAATTTCTATTTCGATCTCATCATGATGACGTGGTATAAATTTGTGCAGACCCCTGTGTGTGGCCTCTAGCATTTCAAGATGGGCAAAAGGCACCCCACCGAAGGGTTGTGGAATGGGAGATTCCGATACAGGAGAAGTAATTTGTGGAGACATGCTCTTGAAATCATTTGGAGAATGAGCAGTACTATGACCACTGTCAACATCGCCCAAGCTTTGTAAACGTTCCGAATCGGGACTAGAGTCCTCGTCTAGAAGGTAACTATGTTTGAGCGTCAAAAAAGATCGTTGATTATGCCGTCCCTGGGGACCAGTCATTCCTCGATTGCGACCAACACCCTGACCATTGGACATCTCATCAGCCAATGAAGACTGTTCAAAGCCATTGCCACCAGCACCAACACCACCACCTAAAAGATGCAGAATGGAAGCTGCAAAAATCGGTGATCAAATGCAATTAAATAAAAATCATAAAACTACTACGGATTACTACAACAACTAGAGGAGTAAAAAGCAAATTAAAAAAATTCATTGACACCGTCAAAGCATATGAAGAGGAAGCAAAAACTTTAAACACTGTTTCCACAAATTTCTCACTCACATTTTTTATTCTTGGGAATTTCGGGCAACTTTCGGCGACGTCTTTGTTGCTGTTGCGTCTGCTGATTATTCAATATGCCAATGGGTAAACTGTGAGTCGAGAGGTTTACTTGATGCGAGCCATTGTGTGTATTGCTGGAGCCTATACCCACCAAACCACCAATAGCATCTTGATGGTTTAATGGATGATGATGGTGTGAATTAAATGAATCATTGGTATCCAAGGAACCATCCGATGACAATGACACCACCTTTAAACCATCGCCAATTTCATCATCTTCCACTTGTCTGTTGTTTTTATTGCAATCGCCATTGTCCTCCTGGTCTGAGGTGTCACTTTTCGAAGAAGGCGAATCCTCCAGTTCATCATTGGGTATTAAACTGGAAATGGCAAAAGCAAAAAAGGAAGTCGTTTGTTAAAACACTCAACTTTAAACTGATTTAATGTTCATTGATTTTTCACACAACAATTCACACACACACAATTTGTATGTACATATACATATGTACATGCTGTTTTTTCACTTCCACTTTTTTTTTTTTTCTTCAAATGTCCTTCTTTTTAGACTTTATATTTTTTAATTTTAATTCAATTAAATTTTTTCCTTTTTTTTTTGTTTAACCAGTTAATTGTTATTAACTTACGAGTAAAATGTATGAGGATTGGGTTTTTTGGCACCACTAACGGTACTATTGGTATATTGTATTGTGTGTGCTTCAAATATTGGACGATGAAATTCCTCGAATTCACTGTCAGCCATTATGAGCTAAAAATGAGTTCTTCCGGAACAGGAAAATATGGCAAACTAATCTCTTTTAATTGCCTTTTAATTGTTTAAATCATTTTTAATTAATTAAACATACACATACACACTGCAAATTAATTTAACTAAAGAAATCACTTGCACTATATTTTTAGTCTTTAATTATGAATATGTTTTATGCGAAAAAAATCAATAATTTCCTTGTACTGTTCACTCGGTGACTTTTTGTACGCAAAAAAGTGGTTCAGCCCTTGCCAAAGTGTGTGTGTCTGTGTTTGTCTCTCTGTTTTTATGTCGTCAATATGTCTTGTGTAGTTTTTTTTTCTTCTTGTTCCTTTTACATACTTTGACAAGAGGGATGATTATTATTGTTTTGTTTACAACTTGGAACCTGTCATCATATGACCTAAACGTTGTATGCGCAAGCGTTACAACTGGAATATTCGTTTTGTGTTCTCTTTTTTATGGGGGGTTATTGGCTTTGTTTAGTAAGCAAATGGAAAAGTTGCATTAATTTTACCGTTAGATATTTAAAGGATATTTCAAAATTATGGTCGTTAAGTTTAGCGTAAAATATTTAAAACACAAAATATATTTTCCTTTTTAAACCAAAACATGATACGTAAAACGTTATACCGTTGGATATTTCATAATGAATTGATTTTCCTAACGATATCTGAAATTTTAATTTTGTAATTTGATGCTATTTATATATAATCTGTATTAATGATATAATTTCATTATATTTACGAAAGTTTTGAGATAAATGAAACAATTTTCATTATTGCAATGACAACGATAATCGAGAAATAAACGCAAGTTGGGTAAAAAGTTCTTGAGACTGGCTCTACAGTGGACAAATTAATGTCGAAGTGCTTTACGTGAACACCTGCCGTGTTGGACTATCTCACGGTGGAATTTTTCAACCACTGAGCTTTTGTAACGTCTCACCACCGCCCCATTGTGCTTCTTACACGCAGGTGGCAATTTACGTATATGGAAATTCCAGTCCAGTATACGTGAACTTTGCTCAAGTACTTGGGCTACCTAATCACTGACCATTGCTGCCCCGTTGCTTAACTCTCGAGATGAAAAACATCACTTCCATTTACAACCATGCAAATGTGTGATCACCTAGTGACGTAACCGGTAGACCGAAGTACGTATCCATCAAATATGCCGAGACTTTGTTCTTACTCACAGGTAAATCAGGTATGAACAGAGTTTACTCTGAACATACCTGTACAAGGAAGGAAAATTCAATAGTATCAATTGTATAAGATACCTTACATCCATCACCATACAATCCAGCACACTTCTCATTTGTCAGGCACACTCATAAGAGAACAACATACGACAGACTCACTCTAGGTATACGAGCGGGCAAGTACCGTGTAACCCAACATTCATCCTGTATCGATTTTTCGACTTTTTTAATTTAATTAAAAGTCGACTTTTAGTATTTTATAAATAGTCGACTTTTTTCGACTTTTTTGACTTTTCGACTTTCGACTTTTCCCGACTTTTTTTCGACCTTTACCGACTTTTTTCAACTTTTTCCGACTTATCGATTATTCGATGTTATTCCACTTTTTGACTATTTTCGACTTTTTTCCACTTTTTTAAAATTGTCGACTATTTTTGATTTTTTCTACTATTTTCGAGTTTTCGACTTTTTCCAACATTTTTCGACTTTTCGACTTTGTTCGCCTTTTTTCCACTTATCGACTTTTCGACTTTTACTTACAAAGTCGACTTTTCGACTTTTTTCATAGACGATAGTCGAGTTATCGACTTTTTTGGAACAAAATAGTCGGCTTCGACTTTTCGATTTTTTGCGACAAAAAGTCGATTGTTCGATTATTCGAAAGTCGATTTATAGAACCCTACTCCTCTGTGGGTTAGCTGTTGTCAATCGGCAACAGCACCGAACATATCCCGAAATATAGATTTCACCATGCATCAGTCTTTTAACCGCAACTTACTCTTTCCGCAAAATTGGGTTTAAACCACAGCCACTACGTGGATCCCGAAGGAACCTCAACCAACTGACCAGATAGGACAAGTCCTGCGTGCAACTGGCAACTGGTTAGACACCATGTCAAATCATACCAAGGACTAGCCGAGGAGTGAAGTTACATCACCAGTTTGTAGTCCCGGCAGACTAGAGGTACTGGTAGCACCTCTTTACCCCCAGGTTGCAAGACACCAAGATGAGAGTCTTTCATCAAGGAAACATGCCCAGGGAGTAGCTCTACAGTGGACAATATTTTTAGTTTCAATTGTCGTACGATGCGTGTACTATCAAGAATGTGGTCACATCACATCAAAAGTGTGGAACTGTTAGAATCGCCTTGGGCTGAAATGGATGCTCTAAACAGGCAGACAAAATTTGAAAAAGAATCTCAGATTTTCTCCATCATATCTGGGATTTGAGGTATCGTGTCCTGAATTTAGAAAAAACTCAAATTTTTGCCCATTTTATAAATAAAGTTATCTTGGCGTTGTTATAACGACGTTTTTTTAAACTTCAGGATCCGATATCTCAAATCTGGCATCAGATGGAGAAATTCTGAGGCCATATTCGGAATCGGTGCAGCTCAACCCTTTAGAAAAGTATAACTTGGATTCAGGGTTTTGATTTCTTTCAAATTCGGAATCAGCACAGCTCAACCCTTTAGAAAAGTATAACTTGGAACCAGGGTTTTGAGTTCTTTCAAATTTTATCTTCGATTTCCACAGAGTGAGGAAAAGCTTATCAAATAATCCATCTTTTGTACATCATTATTCGTGTTATCGATAGACCGTAAACAATTGCATTGTTTTGGACCATTTGTGTGAGACGTCTTTATCGACCGATATTATGTGACCGAATCAGAAACGATTCACACCCTAAAGTTTAATATCGTCCAAAACATTCGAGAGAAGAAGATTAGACAGATTTGCTACATATATGAAAGCAAATGGATTTACACGCCTTTTTGATTTCAAATTCAGAAAATGCTTTGTGTTAACAGACTCTTTAGAAGAGATCAAATTAATGTTGATTGTTATATTTAAAACAAATTGATTTATTACGATTTCAATGAAAGCTTAGTGAGATTTTTTTTAATTAAACATTACTTTAAACTCATGTGTATACGTTTAATAATACCCTGCAGTTTGAAAGGTGACAACAATAAACATTATCCACAGCTTCTCGAAATAACTTTATCGAGCATAATTTCTTAGTTTAAGGCGTTCAAGTAGGTTGTTGCTTAAATAATGGGGAGTTTCATGGGCTTCCTGTTTCCTATATTAGTTCCAACAACTGCTGGGTTTAAACACATCAATATACATTTGTATGTCTGTTTTTTTTATTAGAAATACATACAACTGCTGTATGTTGGCAACAGTTGGTTTTAATAAATTGAATTACTAACAAAAATTATTGCTGGTAATTGACTTGATTGTATACGCTGCTCACTAATTGTACGACATTCAAATCTAAACTTTAAGATTTGTGAGGATACACGACGAGCATGTCAAAGTCAAAGATGTTAAATGTTTTATAAATAAATAAATAATAAAAAAAACAATTTTAATTGCTTTATAAAAATTCATTATTCTTTAGAATTAATAAAAAAATCAAATGTTTCGATTTATAAGCCTTAAGGTTTCGAGTGCTAGGAATCGATATTATAAGTCATTCCATTAACTTTTTACTTCATTTAAATACTACTACTGGTAAAGTTAAATCATTGTTAATTAACAATAGTTGTTTGCTAATTTGTGGCTATTGTAGGTGCTGTTGTTGTTGTATTACAAACTAATTTTATCTATTCTACTAAAAACCCTTATTCAATTAATTTAATACCCGTATAGTTTTTCATTCATTGTTTGGTAAGACACAAAAGAAAAACAATCTTAAGAATGGCAAACTTTAATATTGTTATTCATTCGCATAGACAAACATACAGATACTAGTAGTAAAGTTACCAGTGTTGACACACTTTTGTAATTTGCATCCCTTATTTGAAGGAAATAATTTCTGAAATCGGGGATTAAAATCATATTGTATATGTATGTGTAGTTTTCAAAGGAAGAACTTGAAATTTGTTTGGTGAAAGTAAGGTTATTTGGGTAGCTAACGACTTAGCAAGAGCACTCGAAAGTCATTTGGTCCATAGTGTTTACCCTTTCATATTTCTTCGTAATTTGTTCGAACAAATTTGTTTATAGCCTTGATACCAGAGAGAATCATCCGGTACTTCTAACAATTTTGTGTAGATTTGTTAGTGACTCATTCTTTAAACATTCCAAATCATAAAAAGAGTCTCTTTTAGAGCAGTCACTAAAAAGGAATTGTAATTATTCTTCTTCTCATACGATCTGACATACGTAGCTTCAATCATCCCCAGTAAGTAGGTCTATAAGAGCTCAAGAGAGTCAAGTTCCCTAGTCGTTATAATAGGGCCATGTGTTTTGGATATTATGCGAATGATAATAGTGGACCACTTGAGTTCTGATTCTTCTTTCGCCTATTTGTCGATCGCGTTCGATATTATAGTCAGAGGAATATGAATATTCTTCTAGGTAACAGTTTCATCCAAAAAGGATCCGTTTATTGCGCTTCTTCTCATACAATTTGACATATATAGGTCTATTGATCCCCAGTAAATATGCCTATAAGAACCCCTAGCGAATTTTTATCAAGGGCCAAGAGAGTCAAGTTCCCATGCCGTTATAACAGGGTCATGTGTTTTGAATATTATGCAAATGGTAATAGTGGACCACTTGAGTTCTGATTCTTCTTTCGCCTATTTGTCAATCGCGTTCGAAATTACAGTCAGAGGTAAATGGATATTCCTTTCGAGGACAGTTTCGTCCAAAGACGATTCGTTTATTGTTCTTCTTCTTATACGATCTGGCGCCAAGAGATTCAAGTTCCCTTGTCATTATAACAGGGCCTTGTGTTTTGGATATTATGGTAGTAGTGGACTACTTGCATACTGATTCTTCTTTCGCCTATTTGTCGATCGTGTACGATATTATAGTTATTCGTTCAAAGATGATCCGTTAATTGTGGGTTCGTTGGTAATTTCATTTCTCCGAATGAATGGTACTCAATTCAACAGAGTTGGTTCAGGGAGTGAATGCAATAAGGGATACACATTAACCTTATTACGAGGCTCGAGTCAAGAGCAGATGTTATTAGTCGATGTCTTGAGATTTTATCTAATGGAGACCAAACTCATCGAAATAAAATCTCCGAAGGACAGTGTTTGCAACAGAGTTTTCTCTTGTTATT